ACCCCAGGGTAGCTCTATTTTTAACTTTCTGAAGAATCTCCATACTGTTTTCCAGAGTGGCTGTACTAGTTTGCATTCGCACCAACAGTGTAAGAGGGTTCCCCTTTCTCTGCATTCTCACCAACACCTATTGTTTCCTGCGTTGTTAATTTTAGCCATTCTGACTGGTGTGAGGTGGTATCTCATTGTGGTTTTGATTTGTATTTCCCTGATGCCGAATAATGTGGAGCATTTTTTCATGTCAGTTGGCCATTCGTATGTCTTCTTTGGAGAAATGTCTGTTCATGTCTTTTGCTCATTTCTTGACTGGATTTTTTGGTTTTTTGGGTGTTGAGTTTTTTAAGTTCTTTATAGATTTTGGACACTAGCCGTCTACCTGATAAGACATTTGCAAATATCTTCTCCCATTCCATAGGCTGCCTTTTAGTTTTGTTGACTCTTTCCTTTGCTGTGCAAAAGCTTTTTTTTTTTTTTAAGATTTTATTTATTTGACAGAGAGATAGAGAGCGAGCACAAGTAGGCAGAGTGGCAGGTAGAGGGAGAGGGAGAAGCAGGCTCTCTGCTGAGCAGGGGGACTAACGTGGGGCTTGATCCCAGGACCCTGGGATCATGACCTGAGCTGAAGGCAGCTGCTTAACTGACTGAGCCACCCAGGCGCCCCTGTGCAAAAGCTTTTTATCTTGATCAAGTCCCAACAGTCATTTTTGCTTTTGTTTCTCTTGCTTTTGGAGATGTGTCTAGCAAGAAGTTGCTGTGTCTAAGGTCAAAGAGGTTGCTACCTGTGTTCTCCTCTAGTATTTTGATGGATTCCTCTATACTGTTTTCCACAGTGGCTGTACCAATTTGCATTCCCACCAATAATGCACGAGGATTCCTTTTTCTCCACATCCTCTCCACACTTGTTATTTCTTGTCTTTTTGATAATAGCCATTCTGACAGGTGTGAGGTGGTATCTCACAGTGGTTTTGATTTGCATTTCCCTAACAATGAGTGATGTTAGCATCTTTTCATAGGTCTGGTATAAGTTCTTTATATATTTTAATATTAACCCCTTATCATTTGATATATCATTTGTAAATATCTTCTCCCATTCAGTAGGTCATCTTTTTGTTTTGTTGATGGTTTCCTTTCCTGTGCAAAACCATTTTATTTTGGTATAGTCCCAACAGTTTAATTTTGCCTTGGCTTTGCTTGTCTTAGGAGATATATCTAGAAAAATGCTGCTAAGGCTGATGTCAAAGAAATTACTGCCTGTATTCTCTTCTAGGAACAGTATTTTTTTTACATTAGCAGTAAACGAGTAGAAAAAAATGTAATTAAAAATAAAATACCTAAAATTAGTCACTAAGCCAAAATGTAAACTTTCCTAAATATCAGGGTAACTACAAACATACCAAACAAAACAGACTGCGTAGTAAAATACTTTTAATATATGAACATATAGCTAAAAAAGAAAATAAAACTTAAAATAATAAGACAATATTAACACCAAACATCTTTTGTATCAATAAATGTAAATGGTCTTAACTTATTTGTTTAAAGAAAAACATTTTTTCTATTGGATCACTGAGTAAAACCCAAATGGTGTATCCAGGAAAATCAATTAAGGGGTGCCTGGGTGGCTCAGTCAGTTGGGCATCAGATTCCTGATTTTGGCTAGGGTTATGGTCTTGGGTGGGGTCTTGGAATCAAGCCCTGCGATGGGCTCTGCACTCAGGGTAGAGTCTGCTTGTCCCCTCCCTCTGCTCCTCCCCTGTCTCATGTGTGCACGTGCTTTCTCTCTCAAAGAAAGGAAGGAAGGAAGAAAAAAAAAAAAAAAAAAAAAAAAAAAAAAAAAGAAAAAGAAAAAATCAATTAAAAGAAATTGATTCAGAAAGGTTAAAAATACCAGAAAGGACAAAGGTATACCAGGCAAATGCAATTAAAGAAAACATGGGTTGCAATCTTAATTATCAGACAAGTCAGGAACTCAGAACCAAAGGCATTAACTGACTGTCAAGGTCATGAAAAACAAGGATAGACTGATGAAGTGTCACAGACTGGAGGAGATATGATGACTAAATGCAATATGGGATTCTGGATTGGGGTCTGGAACATAAAAGGGATATTAGTGGAAAAATCGGTGAAATCTGAATAAAGTCTGGAGTTTAGTTAATAGCAATGTACCAATACTTAGTTTTGACAAATGTCATACAAGATATTAACACGAGGGGCAACTAGGTGAAGGGCATATGGAAACTTTGCACTAACTTTTCAACTGTTCTGTAAATCTAAAATTATTCCAAAATAGAAAGTTTGTTATAAAAAAGCATTAATTGAGGCAAAAAGGCCACAATTTACAATGAACATAAAAGTTTTGACTATTTTTGTACCAAATAACATAGCAGCTTTCATAAAGCTAAGATATTAAGGAATACAAGGAAAAATAGATAACAGATTGAAACACACTAAAAGTAGGAGAAATTTAACTCACCTTTCTCATTCCAGGACAGATCAAATCAACAAAACAACAACAACAACAAACAAAAAACCCAGTGAGAATATAAAAAACTAAATAACAAATCAATATTAGGCCAAGAAGAAAATCTCAACAAATTCCAAAAATTAGAACTAATACAATGTTCACTGATCACACTGAATAAAACTGGAAATCAATGTAAAATGGATCTTCCATCTGAATATGTAATATCTCTCTGTCAAACAACTCTTGGATCAGAAGGGAAACTCAAATCAAAACTGCTGAATTTCTAGACAATGATAATGAAAATACTAAAGTCAGAATCCATGGATACAGATAAAGCAAAGTTCATAGCCTTAAAATACTTGTTCTAAAAACAAGGGAAAAATTAAATGAATAAGCATCCAACTCAAAAAGTTAGAGGAAGAAAAAATAATAAAATTAAGAACAGAAGGAAAAAATAACAGTAAAGTTCAAATAAAGAAGTTAGAAAACAGATAACAATAGAACTAATAAATAGATGAGCTAATTCTGTTAAATAGAAATATGTAAGCCATTAAACAGCATAATCAAGAAAAGGAGAAAGCTTGGGGCCCCTGGGTGGCTCAGTCGGTTAAGTATCTGACTCTTGGTTTCGGCTCAGGTCATGATCTCCAGTTCATGAGATTGAGCCCTGCATTGGGCTCTGTGCTGGGCATGGATCCTGCTTAAGATTCTCTCTCTCCCTCTACCCTGACCCCTCTCCTCTAAAAATAAAAGAAAGAAAAAGAATAAAAGGAGAAAGCACAAATATACAAGTTAGGAAATGAAAAGTTGGACATAACCATAGTAAGAGGACATTTTAAACATAAAAGACTTTCTTGTCCAACTCTATGCAAATTGTTTAAGTACCTGGAAGACATGGAAAACATCCTAGGAAAATATAATTTACTTTAATTTGACTCTAAAAGAGAAAAACCCATATATGCCATTTTCTATGGAAGAAATAGAGAAAGGTATAAAGAGGTATTTTTCCTCAAAGGTACCAGACTATGATGCTTTCACAGGGGAAGTCTACTAACACTAAAAAGCAGTAATTTGAATGCTATTTTTATTTTCCTGAGTCTAGATGAAGGAGGAACACATTCAAATTCTTTTTATAAAGTGAGTATAATATTGATACCAAGATCTGACAACGATTCTACAAAAAAAAAAGAAAATGATATAGATCAATATTCACTTATAAGTAGCAATGCAAAATTCTTTTTTTTAGCAATGCAAAATTCTAAATAAAATATTAGCAAACAGAATCCATGGCTGTGTGGAGTTTATCCCAAGCAAGCAAGAATCATTCAGTATTACAAAATCCATTAATATAATCTAACATATTATTAAATCTAAGGAGAAAAATCATATCATCGTTTTCAGAGATGCCAAAGAGTCATTTGGCAAAATTCAATACCCATTCTTTATTAAAAAAAAAATTCAACAAGAGGAATATAAGGTTTCTTCCTTGATATGATTTAATTATGTGTGTTTGTGTGTGTGTATCTCCCCAAATACAGCAGTCCAGTATTTCACTTAACAAGGAAACACTAGCAGCATTTATATGCTAAAATCAGAAACCAGGCAAGGATGTCTACTCTCTCCACTATAATTTAACATTGTATTGGAAGTAGCAAGCATTGTAATTAAAAAAGAAAAAGAAATTAGAAGTATAAAATTGGAATTGAGGAGGTAAAGCTATCATTATTTATAGATAAGATTATATAGCCAGAAAACCCAAGCAAATCAATATAAAAACTACTATAAACAAGATAAGGTAGCAGGATAGAAAATTAATATATAGAAATCATTTAGTTGGAGGATATATAGAAGAGGGGCATCTGGCTGGCTCAGCTGGTAGAGCATGCAACTCTTGATCTCAGGGTTGTGAGTTTGGGCCCCATATTGGATGTAGAAATAAATAAAATCTTTTTTAAAAAAGAAGATATATGGAAGAGAAGGCCCCATCTATTATAGCAACAGAAAAGGCAAAATACTGTCTTAGTCCATTGTGGCTGCTATAACAATACCACAGAGTGGGTGGCCTACAAACAACAGAAATTTATTTCTCACAGTTCTAGAGGCTGAAAAGCCCAAGATCAAGGCAGACAGATTTGATCTCTGTTGAAAGCTGCTTCCTGGCTCATAGATAGCCATCTTCTAGCTGTGTCCACCGGGGCACTAATTTCACCCAGAGGGCTCCAACCTCATGACTTAATCACTTTCCAAAAGCCCTACCTCCAAATACCATCACAGTGGGGATTAGGTTTCAACATCTGAATTTTGGAGGCACACAAACCTTTAGTCTATAGCAAATACCTCGAAACAAACTTAATAAGAAATGTCCAAAACCTTTATGACAAAACATTTATAACACTCTGAAGGAACAAACGGAAAGGCATCCCATGTTATGAAATAAGAAGATTCAGAATTATACAGATGTCGACCTTGCCTGCGCCCGCCCGGAGCCACCGGTTCTCCACTCACCCCACATCAGTGAGAGGCGCGGCGCACCGACGCCGATGGAGCGGACATGGGCAGAGCGATGGTGGCCAGGTTCGGACTGAGGCTGCTGCTTCTGGCGCAGCTCCTACCCACGCAGATTTATTCAAATCAAACAGCTGTTGTAACACTTTCAAGTAACTCCTCCTCCCAGAGTACCTCAACTGCCCCAAATCCAGCTAATACCACCACCACACCATCTGGCGGAGCTCTGCAGTCATCAGCCAGTCTCTTCGTGATCTCGTTCTCCCTTCTATATCTCTACTGTTAAAAGACTCAGGCCAAGAAACATCTATACTTCCCCATCTTCTAAACCCAATCCAAACGGCGTCAGATATCCAGTGTGACAAGGAAAACACAGGTCTTCATTGAATCTGCTAATTCCACACCTTATTTTATTGACACAGAAAGTGTTGAGGATCCCAAATTTGATTGAAGAACATGTGAAGGATTTGACTAGATGATGAATGTCTATTAAATCTACTGGAGTTTCATGTACAAGATGAAGAGACAGCATCCAAGATTAGTTTTAAGAGATAATTTCTTTAAATGTGGCCTAGGAAGTATGGACATGTAAAATCCTACCTTGAAAATGAGAATAGATTTTATCTTACCTAGATGTGAAAGATGGGATGTGAACAGATTCAGTTTTCATTTGGTTCATTAAATCTTTAAGGCCATAAAACAGTTAATACAAAAAGCTTCCATGATTCTATTTATATGTACATTAGAAGGAACTTCCAGGTGTTACTGTAAATCCTCAATGCATTATTTCAGCAGTACTAACTTAATGCCTGTGTACTCTAGATAAAAGTTTTACCTTGTTAAGTTTGTTAAGTTATCACTGTTTCTTGGGAACTGAACTCTTTCCTCTGAGGCTTTGGATTTGACATTGCATTTGATTTTTTTTTTAAGATTTTATTAATTTATTTGACAGAGAGAGACACAGCGAGAGAGGGAACACAAGCAGGGGGAGTGGGAAAGGGAGAAATAGGCTTCCTGCAGAGCAGGGTGCCCGATGTGGGACTCGATCCCAGGACCCTGGGATCATGACCTGAGCCGAAGGCAGACGCTTAACGACTGAGCCACTCAGGCGCCCGCATTTGATTTTTTTTATATAGTAATTGACATGTGCCAGGGCAATGATGGATTGGAATCTACCCCCAAATGAAGCATAAGGAATAAATTTTGCTTATATACTGATTACTTATTCCTATTCAACAAGAGTGCCAGATTCATTTAGCTACACTGATTCCAAAGAGTAGAAGATCATTGACCTCTGCTAATTTCAAAATGCTTTTTATTTCTGCATATGTTGAATACTTTTTATAATTTAAAAGATCTGTTTTGAAGGTAAAATTGACAAATCTTGAAATTAAAAAGGCAAAATATGTGCAGGAGCCAAAACTGTAAATCAAGTATTTGAGAAGTGAAGACTGGAAGTTTACATTAAATTTGGAAAAACTTTTATACTCTTTCTGTAAATACTTTGTTTTTTTAACTCTGAACCAGAATAGCCACATTTGGAACACTTTCTGTTAGTCAATATTTTTAGTTAGAACCTGGTCCTAAGCCTAAAGTGGGCTTGATTCTGGAAATTAAATCTTTTTACAACTGCCTCGACGCACAGAAAGCTTTTTAAAAGTAGACACTCTAAGGTCTTTTGTTCGCATGGTCACACACTGATGCTTAGATGTTCCAGTATCTAATATGGCCACAGTAGTCTTGATAACCAAAGTCACTTTTTCCCACCTTTAGGAACCTACACCAGAACAACCATACCCAAAAGATCTCAAGCTACTGTGTGTGTGAATGAACATTCCATTTTGTTCCATAGCTGAATGTACGTCTATTTTGGATTGTATACTGTGTTTGTGTATTTATGCTTTGATTCACAGTAACTTCTCATGTTATGGAATTGATTTGCATTGAACACAAACTGTAAATAAAAATAAACGGCTGAAAGAGCAAAAAAAATTATACAGATGTCAAATTAATTTATAAATTTAGTATAAACTCATTTAAAATGCCATTTTTTCTCTTTTTCTGAAACTAGACAAGCTGAATTAAAGTTCAAATGGAGGGACGCCTGGATGGCTCAGCTGGCTTAGCATCAGACTCTTGGTTTCAGCTCAGATCACGATCTCAGGGTTGTTAGATCCAGCCCTGCTTCAAGCTCAGTGCTCAGCAGGAGTCTGCTTGAGATTCTCTCCGCCTCCGCCCCCCCCCGGCCCCGCCCCTCCCGTGGCTCATGCACATGCACGTTCTCGCTCTCTCAAATAAATAAATAAATAAAATCTTTTAAAAAAAGTTCAAATGGAAAAATAACAAGCAAGCTTAGCCAGGATATCTCCAAAAAGGAAGAGCAATGATATGGGACTATTGCCATAATAATGCTCTGTAAAAAGACAAAATGAATATTTATGTACCAAAACCTAGAGTCTGTGGGTCATTTGGGAGGGTCTACAATCTGGATCAAGCTCTGTTGATCTCAACTGGGCTAGCTCATGTGTCTGCACTAAGTTGATGGCTTCACTAGAGATTGGCCACTATAGGATGTCTTAACTGGGAGGACTGGGCTCATTTCTACATGTCTCTCACATCCTTCCAAGGTTAGCTTGGGTATGTTCTTGTAGCAGTGGCAGGGGTCCAAGAGAGGAAACAGAATACGCAAGAGCTTTTTCAAGTCTCTTCTTAATATCAAGTTTGCAACTATCCTGTTGGTTAAAGCAAGTTATATGGCCACACTCAGAGTCAATAAAGCAGGGCACTATGAAAGGGTGTGGATACATAGACACATGAGAAATTGGGGTCATTAATTGCAATCTATATCACCAACAACAACTCAAAATCTAGAATCCATAAAAGAAAACAAAGATAAATTTGTTTACATAAAATAAAATAAAACTTGCCTGGAAAAAATCCATTAGCAAAGTCAAAAGGATAACAAACTGAGGAAAAACACTGACAAATCATATGATTCACAAAGGTCTAATCTCTCTAATATATAACAACATTCTAGAAATCAAGGAAAGGCCAATAATCCAACAGAAAAATACAGGATATATATAGACAATTCACAGAAAAAGACATAAAATTGACCCTTAAACATATGAAAAGATGCTCAGCCTCACTCATAATAAGAGAAATGTAAATTAAAACTACCATGAGATACTATTTCTTACCTATCACATTGTAAAAAATCTAAGTCTTTAACAATACACTTTGTTGGTGAGGCTGTGATAAAACAGATAAACTCATACATGGGTGGTAAGTGCAAAATGGTATACCTATGGAGGGAAACTTTGGCAATATCTACAAATATAATTATTGGAATGTATCTTACATAATTACAAATATAATTATTGGAATTTATCCTACATAATTATCTGCATATGTATGAAATGTCTATTCATTATGGCACCATTTGTAATACCAAAGGACTAAAAACATCCCAAGCATCCACAAAAGGGGACTGCAGTCATTAAAAAAAACCCTATTATATATCCACATAATGTAACACTTTGAATAAGTACTCTATAAGCTTCCATACAGTGACTTTCTATGTACAGGAAACTCTAATGCTCTGATATGGAAAGACCTCCAGGATGTATTATTAAGAGAAATAAGCAACATGTATAACAGAATACACATGGGTAAGAAAGGGGGAGAGGGATTAAGATACATTTATGTTTGTTTGTATCTGCATAAAGAAACACTGGAAGAATAAAAAATAAACTAATAAAACTGGTAACTGTGAATCAAAACAGTATGGTACTGTCATAAAAAAACAGGCACATAGATCAGTGGAACAGAATAGAGAGTCCAGAAATAAACCCATGATTATATGGTCAATTAATCTGTGACAAAGAAGGCAAGAATATATAATGGGTAAACACAGTCTCTTCAACAAATGGTGCTGGGAAAATTGGACGGCTATATGCAAAAGAATAAAATTGGACCACTTTCTTACACCATACACAAAAATAAATTCAAAATGAATTAAAGACCTAAAATGTGAGACCTGAAACCATAAAACTCCTAGAAGAAAACATAGGCAGTAATTTCTTGGACGCCAGCTGTAGAAACATTTTTCTAGATAAGGAAAACAAAAGTAAAAGTAAACTATTGGGACTATGCCAAAATAAAAAGCTTTTGCATGGCAAAGGAAACCATCAATAAAGTGAAAAGGCAACCTACTGAATGGTAGATGATATTTGCAAATGATATATCTGATAAGGGTCGATATCCAAAATATATAAAGAACTTATACAACTCAACACCAAGGAAAAAAACCAATACAATTAAAAAATGGGCAAAGGGCCTGAATAGACATTTTTCCAAAGAAGACATACAGGTGGTCAACAGACCTATGAAAAGATGCTCAACATCACTAATCATCAGGAAATCCAAATCAAAACCACAGTGATGGGATGCCTGGGTGGCTCGGTCAGTTAAGCGTCTGCCTTTGGCTCAGGTCATGATCCCAAGGTCCTGGGATTGAGTCCCGCATCAGGCTCCTTGCTCAGCAGGGAGCCTGCTTCTCCCTCTGCCTGCTGCTCCCCCTGCTTGCTCAGTCCCTCTCTCTCTCTCTCTGACAAATAAATAAAATCTTAAAAAAAAACAACCCACAATGAGATATCACCTCACAGATGTTTGAATGGCTATTATCAAAAAGACAGGAAATAACAAGTGTTGGAGAGGATGTAGAGAAAAAGGAATCCTCTAAAACTATTGGTGGGAATGCAAATTGGTGCAGTCACTGTGGAAAACAGTATAGAGATTCCTCCAAAAATTAAAAATAGAATTATATGATCCAGTAATTCCACTACTGGGTATTTACCCAAGGAAAATGAAAACACTAATTTGAAAAGATACCTGTACCCCTATGTTTATTGCAGCATTATTTATAATAGCCAAATATGGAAGCAACCCAAGCATCCATCAATAGACGAATGGATAAAGAAGATGTGGTCTAGATCTATATCTATATGAAATAGTACTTATATATATATCAAACTTCTTATCAAATAGATCACTGGCCTTTGAACATAGGGATGTTTCAGTGATGTGATACTTTTCAGTATAATCTGGTTAACAGAACATTCTGAAGAGGGAGATTGACTGTAATGTACCTACATATCTCCATCATGTCTTTGTTAATTTTGTCTTTCCTTATTCTAGGGGAGTTGGCCTGTTCAGTTACTGGGTTGTCTATTTAATACATTAAAGAAACAATATACAAAAATCAAAATTAAGGAGGCATTCTCTACTTCCTTCCTTCGTTCCCTCTACTTCCTTCCTTCCTTACAGTCTTTGTTGTCCCTTTTTTTGGTACAATTCTTATTTCATAATGTTCTTTGTTGAACCTAAAAGAAAGCATTCTTAAGGTGGAAAGAAGCTTGAAGTCAGTATCTGTGTG